GCCACTGGTAAGTGTCCATTTTCAGAGGAACTGCTTCCTGGGGCCAGGAGGCCAGGAGAGCCCCTCTCTACCCTGGGGAGCTGGAACAAGGGGCAGTGCAGGCTCTTCCCAGAGTCAGTTCTGACCCCTCCCCCACTTCCATGACCGTCCTCCCACCTGGCTACCCCTACCAGCCCAAGTCACCACAACTCTCCCCAACACCAGGGCATTCATAGACACTGCTTTCTGTGGATAGCATTTTCTCCCCAATGAGGGTTCCCAAAACTCAGGGTCGGGTGACACTGCAGAATTGTGTTCCCTCAGCCGCATTTGGTGTTGGTTGGGAAATCTCCTGTCCTTCCCTGAGCTTAACCTCAGTCATTTCTGTCCCCATGCCCTTATGTCAGTTCCCCAGGAGGTTAGGTCTGGCCAGGCAGGCTGGACACATCATTCTGACAGTGTGCATTGCAGGGTTGCAGCCCAGAGAGACCTAGATTTTAGTCAGGTGGGATGGGGAGCAAGTTGGATATCATTACACTAGCTACAGGGCAGCCCAGGTCTGGAAGAATGAAAAATCCTATGATCCTAAATCATTGTAGAATATATTATAGAATGAAACACCTTTCTTATCAAATGCAGTGCATTTTGCCATTTTACCTGTATACCTACATAAAATAGACATCTTTTAAAATAAGCTCATCCAGCTAAAAAAAAAAAAAAAAGGTGGACTCCATTACAGAATGGAAAATGAGGTTCAAATGTGGATAAAATATATCAATTAAAGAGCCCTAGTCCCTGGGCTTCTGCAGTTTATACCCTTTAGAGAAAGTAACCATTCTCAGAAGGTTCAGCTACATCCTAATTATCCAGGGGGGAATCAGTGTGTCGGAGGAGAACATTACCAAGGGCTTTTAGCAAGAGCTGTCTCCAAGAAATCCCCACAGAGGCAGAGGGAGGAGAAGTAGGCCAGCGCCAGACTCAGGCACACATTTTTGTATCAAGAGGCGAACATCACTGCATTTTTTTTTTTTTAATTTGGGAATTTCTCAGGAATTCTTTAAACTCCCATTGCAAATTTTGTACTTCTTTTAAGGCACTTCTTAAACATCATTTGATGTTTTTTCTGAGATTTGTTCATGTTGTTTCCTTGGCCTGGACTGCCCTTTCACCCTTTATCTGCTTGGCCTCAGTAATAAACCTCTGTTTATTACTCAGAGAGTATTCAAGCAGCTCCTCCCCACAAAGCCGGCCCTGACCCTGACACTCCCAACAGAAATGCCAGCTCACCCAATTCTGTTGGAGAGTGAGATATGAATGAGAATGACATAAAACAGGTGCTATTTTCACCTTCCTTTCTGTATACCTGTTCTGGAACATCCTTTGATCTGTTCACAGAGCACTCTGAGTTGTGTTGCCCTCTCGGTGTCCCCACGGAGTTGTGAGCCCCTAGAGATCAGGGCTGAGTTCCCCCCTCATCACTCCCACTCTCCATGCCCCAGGGACCCTCGTTGGACCTGGCTTTGAAGGTTGTTGGGAACCCAACAGCCTTCAGTGAGTGTCAGGAAGTGTCTCAGTTCTTCATCTGATAGGGTATTCGTCTGTCTTCCTGGAGGCATTAGTACTACTGCAGAGCCTGCCGCCGGTTCTACCCTTCTTGAGCTGCTGCCACCTGCAGATGGAGTCTCTCATGTTGTTTTCTACCTGGGGAATGCAGAGGAGCAAATCGACTTTAGAACCTCTCAGTGAACCCTGGGGCTGAGACCTTGGCCCCCTCCCCTCTCTGGTGGGGAGGCAGAGCCAGTCCTTCTGCTCTGCCAAGGCTTCTTGTGTTTCCCCTCTAATGGGGAGGAAGGGAGCACATCCTACCCAACCCCTACCCACCTGAGGCACTGGCTAAACCCTGATCTGTGCAGTCTTCCTTGTTCCGGGGAAGCAGCCTGCCTCTCCTTGGAGGCTGTACCTTCTACTCTCCCCAGCTCTTTCTATCCCTTAGCTCCTATTCTTCTGAACTTCTTGTACCCCGCCCCATGCTGACCCACCCCAATTTCTTGGGCACATGGAATCCACTAAGTAAAGCTTCATGGATTCCTGTGCTCCCAGCACTGGCAAGACAAGGGTGGACATAACGCTGTCCCTAGCCTCAAGGTAGCCCACAGTCTGCTGGGACAGACAGATGCTAACTGCAAATGGTGCACAGGAAGGAAGGAGCTGTTCAAAGTGACCTGCCAGGACTGGGAAGGCTTCCCTGGGGAGGGCACAGCTGAGCAGGGCCTTGATGATGGAGTAGGAGTTCTCTGGGTAGATGAGGCAGGAGACCGCCCTGGCAGGAGGGCATAGCATACACAAGTCATGAAGGCGTAAAATAGCATGGTACATTCAGGAAGCCACAACTGATTGATTGCCATGCAAGAGAGAAATGAGAGAAGAGGCCGGAGAAGGTGGCCAAGCTGCTGGAAAGGTGTTTCAGACCAAGCTGAGTGGTGACTGTATCCTGAAGGTGAAGGAAGAAGGCTGCAGTGAGGGTCCAAGAAGACTTTGTCCTTTCTTCTTTTTATAAAAAGAGCTTTATTAAGTGCTCGCTTCGGCAGTACATATACTAAGAAAAAGAGCTTTATTAAGGTACAGTTGACATATATAAACCGAACAATATAAATGTGGAATCTGATGGGTTTTAACATATGTATGCACCTGTGAAACCATCACTACAATCAAGATGATGAACACATCCATGCCTCGCAAAAAATCCTTCCCTCCCATCCCCACTGTCTCCAGGCAACCACCTATCTGCTGCTCTCTGTCACTACAGATTAGATTGCATTTTCTGAATTTTATATAAGTGAAATCTAGTATTTATTTTTTTGTTGTTCTTGTCACTCAGCATAATTGTTTTGAGATTCATCTATGTCATTGTGCATATTAATAGTTAATTCCTTTTCATTGCTAAGTAGTATTCCATTTATAGATTATACCACAATTTATCTCTCTACCTGTTGATAGACATTTGGATTGTGTCTAGTTTGGGGCTACTACAAATAAGGTGCTATGAATAGCCTCTTGCAAGTGTTTATGTAGAACTATACTTTTATTTTTCTTGGTTAAATATATAGGAAAGCAATGGCTGGGTTATAGGTTATAGATATATGTTTAACTTTTTAAAGAAATTGCCAAACAGTTTTCCAAGTGGTTCCGTTGTCCATTCCCATCAACAGTGTATGAATTTCCCATATACGCTTTCTTGATAGGCTACAAGCTGTAGGGTGAACCTTCAGAGCTGAGTCTCCATTGGATTTGCCTCGCTGGTGACTATAGCTGAAGCTTTCCTTGGGCCCAGTACAGGAGGGAGGGGGATCCTGGAAATACTTTCTTTTTTTTTAGCTGAGCCATCCTGCCACCTGTTGGCAGCTCAGCAGCTGCTCAGCTCGGGCCAGGACTTGAACCACTGTTGCTCAGAGCTCAAACTCTTGAGCGAGCTCTTAACCAACTGAGCCACTCAGCCGGCCCTGGAAGTACTTTTTGAAAATTGTGTCAGACTTGGTATCATCTGGGAGGCTTGCTTGTCATTCATCGTGCCCCAAGGGCTGGAGAAACTGAACAAGACCCGAGGATAATAAACTAAGGGCTTCGCTAGCTCAGCACTTGAGAAAATCCTGCTGGATCTGAACAGCCCACAGTCCAAGAGATTATAGCCAATTTCCACAGAAACTAATTTTTGCATAAATAAATGATTTCATCTGGTGTTGGGGCCCCAACCAGTTGTGGGAGTGGCCCTTGTCTCTGGCTCAGAGCTCTGTTTTAGGGAGGTAGCCCTTTGGCCAGACTACCCCTGGAAGAGCCGTAGTACAGAGGGCTCCAGAGCCCTTGGGACATCCTAGATGGAGGCTGCTGATCTAGGCCCGTTCCCTGCAGGAAAGAGCTGTGGAGCAGCGTCTAGGACCAAAGGTCAAGGCCAATGTCCATGTCCCTCTGGCCACTGCTAGGGCCTGGCCTTTCTGGATCCTGATGTCTGTAGAGCATGAGCCCACCAGAGTTTGAAGTGTGCTGTTCGTTCGTTCGTTCATTCGTTCGTTCGTTCGTTCGTTCATTCATTCATCAACATTCATCAGCGCCTCTTTGGAACCAGAGATGATTCAGGCAGGTTGGAGTCAGGCTGTGAAACCCTCCAGTCCCTGCCCCAGGATTTGGATGGTATTCATGGGAGGGGCACAAATGGGGATTAGATCAGGGTTGTGTTTTAGAAAGGTGCCCTGGCAGCCAATATGGAGGATAGATTCAACAATGGACAGATCATGGGCAGTGAGGTCATCAGGAAGAAGCAAGGGAGGATCTGAGCAGGTGGTGGCAGTGGGAGGCTCAGGGAAGGATGGATGTGAGGGTGAGGGAGAAAGGCGTCAGTGCCAACCCACAGCTGCCGGTTTCAGTGACACTGCTGTCTCCTGGTTCCCACCAAATGCTGAATGCATAAATAATAAATAAGTGGAGGGATGGTTGGAGGGATAGAGAGATGGCTCTTTGGCTCAGGAGTGAGCCAAGACATGCATCTGTATGCCCCCACCCATCCCCTCCTGCCTGAGCAGCCAACCTTCACTGAGGTGAAGGGGGTATTGCAGCTGTCCTCCCAGTCCAGCAGGATATCATTGACTCACAGCTGACATCTCTCAGCATTCTGACTCCTGGAGGCTCAGGTAGTCACCTGTAAAACAAGAGCACTGCCATCCTTTTGTGTTCCAATTACTAAGGTAGTGAAGGACTCCCTGGGGCCATAACTTTGAACTTCTAGAAGGAAAGGCCTCAGTTTCCCATGGAGACCCCATCCTCAGGGGCCAGAGAGGAGGGAAGGAGAATCCAGAGCCTGGTGGAGAAGTCAAAGGTCTCAGCTTAAGGAGTTGGGTCTCAGCTGTGATCACTGAGCATGTACATCATGTGACCTTTGTCTGGTTACACACAGTTACACACAGTGAGAACAGCACCATATAGGCACGTTTCTGTCATTTAGACTGACCTACTGAAATCTCCATCCACAGGTGACCTCAGAATGGCATCCAGCATAACCAGAGTTCACCTTCAAAATAGTCTGTTGGGGCGGGAAGCAGGGGAGGAGAGATGAGAAGGGCTGCGGGCAGAGGCTGCTGAATTCGTGTGCGTGGAGCAAAGAGCAGTGGTGCCATGCAGAAGAAGCTCGGCATCCTGGGTTCCAGTCTCCTGTGCCACCTCCGCTGGGCGACCACAGGAGAGAATCACTTCCCTTCTCTGAGCTGATCTGGGCCCTGATCACAGTGGCTGCAAGTTGGTGTTTGTGTGTGTGTGTTCCCTCTACCCCAGTGTGGGCCCTGTGAAGGGGAAGGGCTGGGCACAGACCCTTGCAACTGGGTCTGAGAAGGCAGAGAAAAGGCGTTCCCGCCTGCTTCTCCTTTTCAGGCTGCGGCTTGTCAGCCACTTGACGCCCAGAGTTTATAGTGAGTACATCTTAGTGTTTCATTGCTGGGAGGACACACAGAGGTCCACTCAACCCTTCGTTTGATGTGAGATGAAACTGAGGTCCAGAAAGGGAGGAAGAGCAGCTGAGGCCCTGACCAGAAATGACCAAGCTTGTCCACATGGGCTTCAGGGGCTCCCTGGGGACCTCAGTGCTTGGCGTTTTGGGCTGCAGTAATGGGGGGCACCCAGGGGCCACTGACTCATTGCCACCTTGGCCCTGTTCCCTGGCCCAGGCCACCACCATCAGGGCCCTCCTGCCCTTGTCCATTGAACCACTGAGAGAAGAGAGCCTGCCTTGTCAGACCTAGTGGGCGAATGTGGCTTTCTTGTCCACCAGGCTGTCACAGTGTTAGCAGCAGCAAGAGTGGGGAGCATGGGGGCCGGTTGAGTGGCTCAGTTGGTTAAGAGCTTACTCAAGAGTGCGAGCTCTGAGCAACTGGGTCGCCGGTTCGATTCCCACATGGGCCCAAGCTGAGTTGCTGCTGAGCTGCCAACAGGTGGCAGGATGGTTCAGCTAAAATAAAACAAAACAACAACAAAAAAGAGGTGAGAGTGGTGCAGGTGCAGACAATTTATTGTGTCACCTTTGGGTGAGGAACCCAAGGGCAGGGTGGGGGTAGGAGAGGCCCAGTGCCAGGAGACAAGGCTTGTGATGAGCTAGGTGCCACATGGAACGGGAGCCTGGCATTTTATTCTCAGTCCAGGGCACTCCCCTGGGTTTGATGGTAAAGGCCAGAGCCAGCTCCTGAACGGTGGTACCAGCCTGAGAGGAGGCCTGGCAATGAGGTGTTTGGCCTCAGGCCAGATGGTACAGGCTGGGCATCTCTGAACCCTGAGCATGAATTGCTGCCGGCGACTCAGGAACTTTGGAGCAGAAAGGTGCCCTATGACTCTGGGCAGCTCTGCCAGGAGGCCCATCTGGGGTGGCTGCCAACCTGTCTCAGGTGAGTGAGGAGGAATGTGGAAGAACTGGGTAGGGCGTGCCCCTGGGAAAGGAGGCTGTGACCTTTGTGCTGCATTTGTGCAGAAAACACTCCCTTAGGCCTCCTGGTACCACCTGGTAGCTGCAAATATGGAGTGCACAGTGCACGGTGGCATAGCTCTGGGCTTTTCTCTTTGTCCTCCATGCCCCGCCTGCTCGGAGGAGAAGAGATCTCCCTGGCTACTTGCTGAATGAGTGATAGAAGGGGAGGAGCAAACGGCCAGACAGATGGTCCCCCCCCCCCCCCAGGCTTCCCAGCAAGGGAAGGACGGTGGCCTGAGGCTCTAGCGTGTCTGGGTTGGGGGATGGTGGGGCAAATCAAGCCACTGACGTTGGCCTTCTTGATGGTCACCAAGCACTTGCAGAGTCAAACATCGAGTTCTTCATGTGTGGGAAGACACTGCTCCCACCTTCCCCTCTCATGCCTGAGTATCCCCAGCAGCACCCCTACTCCTGCCCCTTGACTATCCCTTCCCCCCTCTTCCAACCCTCAGCCCAGCTCAGTTCCTCCACTTCCTGCAGGAATCCTTCCCTGCTGCACCAGCCCCTACAGACCTTCTGTCTTTATCTGCTTCTGTCTCCTGTGATGAGAACTTTTAGGATCTACTCTCTTAGCAACTTTCAAATATACCAACCATACAGCAGTGTTAACTATAGTCATCATGTTGTACGCTAAGTATGTTTTCAAGACACAAAATAGTCTAATATGTTGTTATGGTTATAAATTTAAAGATGCATACTAACTTCAGAACTGGATTAGCTCTGGGGAGGACATTAGCAAAAAGAGCAAAAAAAAAAAAAAAGCAAATATGAAAAAAAAAGCAAACATGGCAAAAGGCTAACAAACAGATTGAACAAATCTGAGATGTATGGGCTAAATCAAGGGGGCGTGTTACATAGTGTTTTCTGTACTTTGGGTTGAAATATTTCATAATGAAAAACAAGCCAGAATGAAACTGAAAACGTTACACTAAGTGAAATAAGCCAGATACAAAAGGACAATATTGTGTAGTTCCACTTATATGAGGTACCTAGAGTAGAAATTCAGAGACAGAAAGTAGAATGGTGGTTGCCAGGGGCTGGGGGGAAGGAGGGTGGGGAGTTATTGTTTAATGGGTACAGAGTTTGGAAAGATGAAAAAGTTCTGGAATTGGATGGTGGTGATGGTTGTACCACAATGCAAATACACTCAATGCCACCGGTTAAAAATGGTTAAAATGGTAAGTGTTATGTTATGTCTACTTTACCACAACAAAAATAAGTGAAAACAACCCAGGATAGGCAAATCTATAGACACAGAAAGTAGATCAGTGGTTACCTATGACTGAGGAAGATGCCAAGAAAATTGGAGGTCAGGGCCAAAGGGTGCAGGGTTTCTTTTTGTGGCAATAGAAATGTGGTGATGAAAATGTTCTAAAATTGATTGTGGTCATGGATGCACAACTCTGTGAATATACTAGAAGCCATTGAAGTGAATGCTTGAAATGCATGAAGTGTATGTTATGTGACTTATATCTCCATAATGCTAGTAAAAAAAAAACACGCCGTAAGGTGGGAAACTCTTTCCATGTCAGCCACTCTAGTAGAGGCCATGGTCTCTCTGGTCTGAACCCAGCTCTGTCTTAAGTGTCACAGAGTCATCAGGAGCCCCAAAGCTTCCCTGCCCTGCCACCCTGTGACATGGGAGGGAGCCCTGCTGGCTCCCAGGGCTGGATCCATTGCCACATCCAGTCTGGGAGAGAAGCAGAGTCGTAGCCTCTGTAGAATGAGGTTAATGAGAATCTGCTCCAGGCTCCAGGGGTTTTGAGCCTTAATTAATACTTGCAAGGCCCTCGGTGATTGTAAAATCAGAGGTTCTGTCAATCTGCACAGCAGGGGCCTTATTAGTACCAGCGCATTACACAGGAGAAAGAAGCCAGCCTTTTGATCACTGACTTAGCACCCTGGAGAGGCTGGTCCCAGGGAGTCCAGGCCAGGCCGAAGCAGCCTCTTGTGCCCCCTTGTCTTTCCTGGCCACTCCTAGAGTCTGAGGGGTCTGGATCAGTGAGGGACTCCAGGGAAGCCACCCTGAGCACTGTGGCCAGGCTCCTGATAGACAGTCAAAGACCTTCACTTTGGGAGTCTATGGCCCCCACAGCAGTCTTGGTGATTGTCCCTCCAGGCCTAAAGAAGGTGGGATATTTCCTTTTCTACAAATCAGCACTCCCATTAGAGCATCAGCCACTTTCCCAGGCAGCTGTCCTTTCTGTGTTTGATGTGCCTCCTAGGTTTGAGCACAGCCAAGTGCTGTGGGGCCCCGAGGGGAGAACTGACTTTGTCCTCTGCCTAGGGCAGCCTGGGGGCATGGAACTTTCTATCTTTCCTGCCTGATGGCTCCTTCCTGCACCCCCACCCCAAGCACCTTCTCCCAGCAGGTCCTCGGGTTCTGCCAAGATCAAGTGGCATAGCCTCTCTCCTCTTTTGTTCTGGCACTGTCTATCCTCTGGGATAATTCCTCAGACCACATCATTCTTTGGGTTGCCCACCCAAGAGCACCTCACACCAGCCTCTGGGGCCCCTGTTTATGCTAGGTGTCTTGATGCCATGCCAAACCATCCCCACCTGGCAGAGCCTTGCTGCCCTTGGACACTGTGGCCATACACCTCTTTCTAACCGATGGGATGGTTCTCTGGCCAGGGAGTTGGGAGGTAGAGGGAGGCACCAGCAAGGAGCCAGGATCTGTGGCCCTATGTGCCCTCAGTTCTGGGGCTGGTGACTCTTGAACTTAGGGACTGTGAGGCCCATGAACTTGAGGCTCTGCAGCCCTTATTTTAAGCCGGTGGCCTTGGATGTCCTCAACCCATGGGACCCATAGCCTCCAGTGCCTGGGACCTGTGACCCTCGGCCAGCTTCTGGTATGTGGACCTTTTTTTTTTTCTTTTTTTTTTTAAATTGGGGAATTGGGGGAGGGGAACAGACAAGTTGCTTTTTGTTTTGTTCTTCAGTCTAGTTGTGGAGGACGTTGCTTCACTGGCCCAAGTTGGCACCACCATTACGCTCTTCCCGGGTGAGGCAGATCAGTCGCTGGCTTCTGGATGGCTGCTCACAGCGGCTGATGGCTACACACGGTAGCCCATGGCAACCCACTGCAGCAGGGGCTGCAGCCTACACCGTCGCTGGTGACTCACGGCAGCCCAGCTCCAGGTTGAGCTGTTGTTCAGCATCATAGCTGTAGAAGGCAGTGTCACTGGCCCTCATATGTGGGATCCGAACTGGGGCCCTCTGGCATCTCAGGCCAGCTCTTAACCATCGCGCCACTTGGCCGGCCCTGGTATGTGGACCTTTAACCAACAACTTTGATGGGTATCTTTTAAGACAAGGTACAGCCTTCCCCCCACATCGGGTCCTGTTTCTGGCAGCTATCCACATTTCCCTTAGGTATGTTACCGTCTAATGCACACAACTTGTCACTCCTGCCATGGAAGCCTGAGGACCCTGAACATCATTCTCCACGTCCGCTGTCCTTCCTTTCCTCTCTCCCTCTTGGCTTCCCAACATCCTCAAACATTGCCAGCATATTATTTATCTCTTTCCTTATCCAGGGACTGTCAAACCAGATGGGGCTGAGGCCAGAGCCCAATGGTCCCCTTACAGAGACCCCATCAGGGCTGATGTAAGTCTCTTCCACAGACTTCTCAGGGAAGCAGTGTAGTGTCATGGTTAGACCTATAGGCATTGGAGACAGTTTCCTGGTTTCAAACCTTGTATCCACCTCTTGCCTGCTGTGTGACCCTGGGCAAATTGTTTAACCTCTCTGTGCATCACCTGTAAAATAAGGGCAATCATA